AGAAAAAGAGATTACTTACCTTGTAACTGTTCTTCGAGATATGTAGCTCATGTCAATTCTACACCCCACCCACCTCCCCTTGTTGGAAGGAGCCGACAAGAAGGAACTGAGAGGGCGGAGGGGCCAGCAGAGGTATATATGCACCGGTATATTGGTGCCACTCCAGGGAGCTCTCTGCCTGGCCCTATGGATCCTGCCAAAGGAAAAAAGCTCCGGAATCCGTGCATGTGGCATGCACACACCTAATCAGAATGGACATGAGCAACACATCTCGAAGAACAACAGTTACGAGGTAAGCAACCTCTTCTTCTTATCCTAGATGACAAGAAATAACTGATGACCTGACCAGTACTTACTGCAAGTAGATATTCCAAATGAATAAATATTCTACATTTTGCTCTTTGTGGTGGCAATATGGGACCCTGCACTTCCATTTAGCAGAAAGGCCCCCCAAGAAGTAAGGTTTGGCTCTGGACTCAGATTTTCCTCAAAGATCAAGTAACGGACACAGAGAATTTTAACTTAAGTACCATTTAATCAAGCACATCCTTTCAACTATTTCAAATTACAAACTGACCATATTATAAAATGGAGAGAAGTTATCCAAGGGATTTATAACTATGAAATCAAGTGATTAAATTACAAAGATGAGGAAGAGCAGTCCTGCTTTGCATCAGAGGGAGTAAGTTCTGAAATTTGGGCACTAGAACATGCACTGGCTTTTGAAGCATGTGCCCAGATTCTGCTCTTCGAACAATGGATTTAAAGAAATGCTTTAGAAATGACTTTGTGCAGCTTTTAACTTTACTGTTTTCATTTTTATAGTTTCATTTCATAGTTTTTTTTTTTTAAGAGGCCAGAGGACGTTTGCCTCCTCCTGGAACTTGTTTCCATATTGCTTGTCCCCTATTTTTGTGGATAATTTATAATCCACATATGATGGCATTAGAATGGACTCTTGTTATTGACAGCAACTTTCATTTGTAATGTTGGAACATCTGCAAATAATTGCACAGAACCCTGGCTGGATCAAGTGTTGATCCAGAATATCCTGGATAATGCAGCAACCAACCCACTCCTTTTTCTCTGTTAATCCTTCTCTAATGCTGTGATGGTGACCATTTCACCCATTCCTTTGAGATAAGAATCTCTAAGCTTGTAATCCTCAAACTGACTTGAAGAGGTGAATGGGAAAGCAGCTTTCTACTATAATTAACTGAAAGTTAGCCAGCCCTGGATCTTGTTTGCATTCAGTGGTGCTGAATTGCCACCTATACTAACCTCCCTTCACACCCTGCCCTAAGGAACCCCTCCTGTCCTCAGCCTGCTCAATGCCTTCGCAAAGGGACATCTGACTGGAGCCTGGCAAACAGGTTTCCCGATGCCCAGGGAGGAAGAGACTCTGATTGTGTCAGCACTGTGGGGCCCATGGGGCAGGGCCAGGCTCCCCCCATTACATAAATGAGCAAGTTTCCTGCTACTTACAGTACATCACTCCCAATCATTGATTACTATGTAAGGGTAAAGAGCGGTATCTTCTGGTACTCTGTTATAATAGATTTTTTAAAATCCATTAGTTCATATCCTCTCCCAGTAACCTTTCTAGTTAGTCATCCTGGGGCCTCTTCAGAACTGCCTAGATAACAGCAGTCATATACAGCTTGAAGAATATAGGCATATTGACTGTTATGTTACCACCTGCATTCTGTATATGTCTACTTGCTGAATTTTTAGTCAATTTTAACATGCTGATCAACATGGGTAAGTTCTAGCATAGGACACAAGTTTGTGGCTGCAGAGCTGGGAACTGGGAAAAAATGGTAGGTCCAGGAATAAATCTTTATGTAGTATATACAGTGTTACTCACAATCACATTATTACTATGTATAAAAATCACAGCTAAAAATCAAAGTGCAGATCTACCCTATGATTTATATTCACCCCTGTAAAGAAAAGTCTATACATAGCTTACGCCTTATTTTGGGGACTTAAATTGTAAACAGTTTAGGTCAAGAGTCATCTTTTTATGTTTGTTAAGAGCATACAAATGGTGCCTCAGGGGTCTCTAGCAGCTACTGTAATACAGGAATATACTCGATTACTCTTCAACCTGTCCATTTTTGAATGATCAAGTTGTTGTGGGCCTCATAAAGAATATGAGTGTTGAAGAGTGATTTGAAAGAGGAAGGGACAGAAATGTACAGATCTGTTCTGGATGGACATTCATGTATAATGCATCTGTTTGAATGTGTGAAATAATCAAAGTACATGTATCACAATCAGGAAACTTCAGGACTTCCTGCGTAACATTTGGCCATAAGACATTAAAGTTAACACCTTATACAGCTATTAAAAATCCTAGATGTGTGCTGTATGGCTGAGATAGGAAAACTCTGAAGCTACTAAGATGTACTTATGTAAAATATCAACCATATTGCAACACTGACAATTTCTTGCATTTTATAACCAGTTAATTTAAATAGATTCTGCAGTAATAATCAAATCCACTTTCTACATTTTAAAATTTAATTAAATATTGTGTAAGTTTCCCAATGATATCATTTATTTAATGGCTCATTGAGTTTAGAGGTTATATTGTCCAAGTTTCCTCAGTAATACTGTTCTTGGAATAAAGACTCTTGTAATAAAAAACATAGAAAACATGCTGAAATGGCATTTGTGCAATAGGCAGTGAGTCTGCATTCAAAGTGATTTGTGTAGTGGGGTTCCTGGTTACATAATAGGAAAAAAGAAAAGCTGGGTAATGACAAAACATTTTCCAGGCAGTATCATATGCTTCACAAGATCTTGGTTTTTAAAGTTTGATGCCCCAAATAGGAGACAATCCCATTCTCTGATGCCCCCCTTCATCTTCTTATTGTACTTTACACTAGTGCCATGCGAGTGTAAGATCAGAACAGTAGCATTTACTCCCACTTTACACTGATACAAATTACTACAACAAAGGACAGAGCAACAGGAAATCTGGTTCATAGGAGCTGAAGATAGAAAAGACCTATTCAGGCCTCCTAGAAGTTCAGTTAAAGTTGCACAAGAGAACATATCAGATACTAAACTGATGCTACATGTTTTAGGCAAAATGTCAAGAGAAGCTGTGTCCCCACAATAATGTTATTTACACTGCATTGTAAAGTGAGCTATTTCACTGGAATTGCTTTCTGCTATCTTCCCTGTCTACAAGGAAGATGGGTGGCAGAAACATGATACAGTAAAACTCCAATAGTCCGGCATCCAATTGTACGGCACTCTGATAGTCCAGCATCAAAATGGCAAGAGCCTAGTGAGTGAGCTTTGGCAAAAAATGAGTCACAAGGCAACAACGGCAGCAGCTGAACCGAGCGAAAAGGGTAAAAAAGGGTTAAAAAAACTAACACATCACAGTATACTGTATACAGTATGTACAATAAAAAGGGTTAAGAACACTTTATATACAGTATATAATGCATACAGTTTATATATAAAACCATTTTATAGTACCTCCTGATAATCTTGCATATCTGATAATCCGGCACCACCAAGGACCCAAAGGTTCCGGATTATTGGAAGTCTACTGTACATGACTGCCTAGAAGAAATATTAACACGGGTAAAGGGAGATCAGATAGGGAAGGCTGTGCATAAAATACATTTAACTGAAAACAGTATTTGGGTTTCACCAAACATCATCCTGGGCCAGATCCCCATCTTCTTCAAACTACACTGACTTCAACTGAATAATGACAATACAGCGAAGTTGATGATCTGCCCCACAGTCTTCATATCACATCTAAAATTATAGCAATATATTGTGTTTATCAAAAAGAGACACAAACCACCAATAGTTTTATTCCACTGTGCTAAAACACTTGCTAAAAAACCTTTAGGAGGCTCTTAAATCCATTGTATTGAGGAAATGATAAGTGTTAGCAATGAAATCTAATACTTTAACAAGTGTAACTGACTGCATGCTCTTTTTGAACTAGTTTGGTTCAGATTCAGCTGTGGAACACTGAACCTCAATCACAGAATATAGGTTTTTAAACTTTTGGAAATGTGGCTGTCCCCTGTATCTACTTACCTTATGGGAGAAGTAAGTGTTCTAGAATAATGAGCCAAAACATTTTGGGTACGACCTCCTGGGATGAGGCATACCTGGGAGCTCGACAAATGCCTTTGATGTCGACCGCGGAGTGTCCAGACTACCGCACTGAGCTGACAAACAGCTGATCGGCTCAGCGTGGCAGCCATTTAAATTTAAATGAAGTGGCGATTATTTAAATCGCCGCTTCATTTTCCTATGCCGGGTAGTCTAATCTACATGCCTCTGTCGCCAGAGGCATATAGTCTAGACGTACCCTTTGTCAGCACAATAACAACTGTATGGCTGAGTTTTAAAAAGTGATCAGTGATTATAGATTCCTCAGTATTTGGTTGCCCAACTTGGAAACCTGAAAGAGGATTGATTCTCAGAGGTGAACACTTAGAACTTTCTTAAAATTGGGTTCCTTTAGGGTGAGCCTCAAACTGGACACTACAAAAAAATCTTGCTAGCTACATTTAAGACTGTAGGCCTGTATTGTTCACAAGCACTGAGATAGCACAGTGGAAGGTGTACTATAAAAACCTTTCTAGAAGATGTGGTGTCAAACCATTGCACTCCAAGACTGCATGTTGACCCAATGCAGTAATTCATGATGACAGGCTATTCTAACTGCTGTAAGAGAATCTTACTGAATCTTACTCTTGATTATTACTGTGCTGGAGCACAATGTATAGCTCTATATGTCCCATTCTGAGGTCTCTTCCAGTTCTATGATTCTATGATTTAGACTTTTACAGATTAATAGACGATCTGCACTGATTCTCTTTCAAACAGGGATGAATTAAAGTATGATAGTGGTTCTTCTGTTGATCCAGAGACCACATTTGAAAGTGCAGGATTTTAAATACTGAATGAAAAAAAAACCCAACCAAAAAACAAAACCAACCTTGAGTGCACAGATATGAAGAACTCAGTTTATTGCTTTGCCAGGGGGGATATACAGTACAAGAAACTGAAAGCCAATCCATGTTCAGGATTTAACTTTTTTTATTAATGCTACTTATACAGACATTCTTTGGAACCCGCAGCTGTGTTATGAGACTTGACTTCTCTAATGATTGAAAATTTTTATAATAAAACCATCAAGAAAAGATAGCTCAAGTGTGCCACTCCTTAAAGGATTCCATCTGAGTAAATGTGTTTGTAGATACTACAGTTAGGAATAACTAAATAGCAACTGACCTGCAGAGGTGAAGCTGGCTACAGATGAGTACAAAATGATGATAGTCAAGGATTATTGTTCCAGGCCATGTAGTTACTATAGTAATCTGCCATAGGTTCATAATTAAAGATACTTTATTTCATTTCATTCACCAGAGGAACATTTACATATTGGCAAGAGTATGTACAATTAAAAAAATTAGCCTTTAATAAAAAAAATTAGATGAAAACAAACTATCCTAACTTGAGACACTGAGTGTTAAAGCTATCACCCTCTTTGACAGCAACAGCCTCAAGCAGAGCTTGCTTCTTCTGCATACTGCGAGATGACTCCAATTCATACATAGTTTCACCAGAGGAACATTTACATATTGGCAAGAGTATGTACAATTAAAAAAATTAGCCTTTAATAAAAAAAATTAGATGAAAACAAACTATCCTAACTTGAGACACTGAGTGTTAAAGCTATCACCCTCTTTGACAGCAACAGCCTCAAGCAGAGCTTGCTTCTTCTGCATACTGCGAGATGACTCCAATTCATACATAGTTGTCAAATTGAAAAGAACACTCTCATGTAGGTAGTGTTTAGGGTAGATGGAATCCTTCAATTTTCCCAGATAAAGCAAACAAACAGCTGCATTGTTATTAGCCTAGAGAAAAAGATTATAATATGTACACTGAGTCTGGAATCAGAACTTAATAAGTCTTTAAAATTACATTTTCTTTTTGTAACTAGTTGCAATTGTTGAAATGTATTATTTATCCTGCAATACAATTCTTTTATCATTGGCAATGGAAGCTTGGTTACTTTCAGAGTCTATCCTACAACAGAAATTAGCTGACCTCCAACATTTGAAGTTCTAAAAGATTGAAGAAATCAAACTGGAACTCATATTGGTAAAGGGACTCACTACATAATGTTAAAAATGAGCAGAAAGTGATTTCAGACCCCACATTTGTCCTTGAATCCTCTTGCCAATTATTCTAGTTTTACACTTACATTTTCCTATTTTTAAAAATGTCCTTCTCTCCCCTACGGCTACATGAAACATTGATGCAAACGGGATATTGTTTTACTGAAACAGACTTTCAAGTCAATGGGTAGATTCACTAGCTAGGGCAGGCCACATAAAACCCAAATGCTCAGGGCTCGACAAATAATGTAATCTACTCGCCATAGGCGAGTAGATTACAACCTGGAAGAGCCAGCGCGGAGAGCAGAACCGCGCAGCTGGTGAGTGGGGCTCGCCGCCGCGTGGCAAGCCCTGCAAATGCTCATCAGGTTTTATATACTGTTCATCAAAGCAGCACTTTACTAAGTAAAAGAAAGGTATCTCACCTTGTGCAGTAACTGGTGTTCTCTGAAATGGGTGTCCATGTGGGCGCTCCTGTGCTTGAAACCAGAACGCTTCAGCAGCAGTACTCCCCACACTGGTGTCAGGGAGCTCACGCCATAATGAACTTGCTGAGATGCACACCATCTGTTCCTTCTCTATCATGGAGAGATGTTGCAATTCCAAAGCAGGGGGAGAAGGGCAGGTCTTAGGGCACCCACAGGGATACGCATCTCGAAGAAACAGCAGTTACTGCACAAGGTGGGTAACCTTTCTTTTCTTCTTCAATGAGTGTCCCTATGGGTGCTTCACTGTAGATGACTATGGAGCAGTGCCCTCAGACTGTGGAGGAGGGGCTTCGGATAAGGATGGTGGCAAGGACCACCTGTCTGAGAGCGGTATACTGCGAAGCGTAAGTGTGTATAACATGTTTTGTAAATGTATGGACTGATGCCCTAGTTGCTGCCCTACAGATGTCCTTCAAGGGCACGCTATGTAGGAAGGCTGTAGAGGTGGCTATTGCTCTGATGGAATGTGCCCACATATGAGGTAGTAACAGCATCTTATTGACATGGTAGCATTCTTTAATACAGTTTATTATCCATCTCAAAAGACTCTGTTTTGAGATTGCGCGTCCTTTAAAGTGGTCTGCTATACAAATGATTAGTCTAGGAGATTGTCTAAACTGTTTGGTTCTATCTAGGTAGAAGGCAAGTGCTTATCGAACATCTAAGGAGTGGAGCTGTGCTGTGTTGGCATCCGGATGTGGTTTTTGGTGGAAAACAGGTAAGTATATAAGTTTGTTAAGGTGGAATTGTGAAACTACTTTGGGGAGAAATTTGGGATGTGGTTTTAAAAATACTTTATCTTTGCAGAAGATGGTGAATGGCAGATCCGCCATGAGTGTGGCCATTTTGCCTACTCCCTTTGCTGTCATAATTGCTAAAAGGCAAGCCACTTTTGTGGAAAGGTGAGTGAGGGAACATGTTGCCATGGGTTCAAAGGGTGGGCAGATCAATGTATTAAGAACGAGGTTGAGATCCGAAGGCAGCAGTTCTGTCTTTATGGAGGAAAAACATTGTTGAAGCCTTTTAAAAGCTTCTTAGTGGTGGGTGTGAGAATATAGTGTGGCCATCCATGACCTTGTGCTCGCTTGAGATAGCGGCTAGGTGTACCTTTATGGATGAATTGGAAAGGTTCTGTTTTTTTAATGAAAGAAGATATTCTAAGCTTATCATCAACTGTGCAGAGTGAGGATTTGATTTGTTCTTTGATTTGCCCACTCGGAGAAAGTTCCATTTTTGCGAAAAGGTCTTTCTTGTAGTGTGTTTGAGACAATTCAGGATAATATTGTGGACTTCCTCTAACCAGGTATGCTGCTGAGTATTCATCCCTGGAGAAGCCAAGCCCGGCGATGAAGTTTGTGAATGTGTGGATGGAGAACTTGACCCCGATCCTGAGATAGTATGTCTGGCCATTGTGGAAGAGGAATCGATGGTGCAGCTGCCAGCTGTGACAGATAAGGAAACCAGGTTTGTTTGGGCCATGCCAGTACTATGACAGTAACTCTGGCATTGTCCTGCTTTATTTTCTGTATGACCTTGCCAAGAAGGGGAAGTGGTGGAAAGACACATAGGAGATTGTGAAACCAGATGATCATCATGGCATCCCCCATGAAGTCCTTGCCCAGCCCCATCCTGGAACAATACTTGGAGCATTTGATAATGTGGTGAATAAGTCTATTTCCACAAAACCCCACTTGAGGAAGATGGAATGTAGGGCTCAAGGACGTATATCCCATTCATACTGCTGATGAAATATGAGGCTTAGATGGTCCTTGGTGATGCTTTGGTTGCATGCAAGAAACACTGCTGTCAGGGCGATGTGGTGGTGAATGAACCACTGCCATAGTGTTGCTGCCTCTCTGCAGAGGGTATATAATCTTGCCTTGCCTTGGCGATTTATGTAAAACATGCAGGTGGAGTTGTGAGTATCCTCACAGACTTGCCCTAGATCAATGGCAGAAAGTGCTCACATGCTCTTTGTGCTGTGCGAAATTCGAGAATGTTGAAGTGCAGGTTGTCCATCTCTCCTGGGTGCTGTGCTCGTTGGTGTATGTGCCCAACCCTCTACTGAAGCATCCATTTTTATGCTTGTGGATAGGGGTGTCTGTTGGAAAGGGACACCTGAATATAGCTTGTCGACCTGTATACACCATGCCAGTGATTCTCTTACCCTCTTTGTAGGGCTCAGCATTTTCTGCATATGGTGCTTGTTAAAAGCACGTGTGAAGCCCCATCTGGAGATATCTCATGCATAGCCTAGCGTGGGGTTGCCAACATGTGACCTAGAAGCTGAAGGCACTGTCTGGCTGACACTGTAGGGTTATCTATAATGGTTTTTGCTATCGGAGACAGTGTTTGGATCCTCTGTAACAGTAGTCTTGCCTGCGCATTTATACAATCCAGTGTGTCTCCTGTAAACTCCAGCTCTTGGGATGGGAGTGAGATGCGACTTTTGTTCATTTATCTGGAGAGCTAGGGATGTGAATAGATGGATTGTCTCTGCTGTGGATTGGATAGCCTTTTGTTGTGAATGTGCCATAATTAGACAGGTGTCTAGGTACAGGAAGATTATTATGTCCCGTTTTCTGGGATGAGCTACTGCCACAGCCAGTATTTTGGAAAAAACTCTGGGTGTAGAGGGCAGGTTTAATGGGAGGACCCGTTACTGATAATATTGATACAATAGGGTAAATCGTAGAAATTTTCTGTGTGAAGGTCGAATTGATATATGAAAATACGTATCCTGAAGGTCGAGGAACAATATCCAGTTTCCCAGTTCCAAGGATGGAATATCTTTGCTAGAGTTACCATGGTGAACTGTTGCTTTCTTAGATACCTGTTCAGAATGCATATGTCCAGGATGGGTCTCCAGCCTCCTGACTTTTTTGAAGTGAGGAAGTATCTTGAGTAGAAACCCTTTCCCCTATGATGAGCCGGTATAATCTCTATTGCTCCCATCTGGAGTAATCTGTTTATCTCCTGTTGTAACAGGGACTCGTGAGAAGGGATGGGGAAAGTGTTAGGGCTGGAGGGAATTTGGTGAATGGGATTGGGAAGCCATTTTGTATTACTTCTAAGGCACAACTGTCTGTGGTGATCTTGGCCCATTCATAGTAAAAGGGCTGCAGACTGAACTGGCATTGAACATTTGTTGGAAACGATGTTGAACCCTCAACCAGATGTTCAAAAAGTTTGTCGGCCATTGGTGGACTGGGACATGGTAGGTTGTTCCTGCATTTGTCTATGTTTCTGTTGCCTCTGTCTCCTTCTTAGATCACAGCTTCTCTGGGATGAGTATGATGAGGATGCTCTGCCTTGAGGTGTGAACTGTCTATTTAGTTTCTTCCTGGGTTGGAGAACATATATGCCCAAATGTCTTTAATGTCACTCGTGAGTCCTTGAGCGAATGTAGTGAGGCATCTGTGCTCATGGAAAAAAGCTTTTGGCCCTCAAATGGGAGATTCTTAACGGTATTCTGTACCTCCCTAGGGAATCCTGAGAGGTGCAAACCAGGAGACACGCCGCATGACTACCAATGTAGCTAAAGATCGCTGCAGTCTGAGCTATGTCGAGGGATGCTTGCAGAGCAATCTTAGCTATAAGGAAGCCTTCATTTATGTTGGACTGGAAGGAAGCCTTACTAACGTCGTGGTAGCCATTCAATAACATTTTTCATGTTCTCAAAATGCCAGTTCTCAAAATGCCAGTGATACGCAGGGCTCGACAAATCATGGCGAAAACCACTAGCCAGCCCTGCACTGTGCATGCGCGAGACCCACACTGCGCATACATGAACCGCCGGTGAACAGGGCGACTGGCTGAAATCTACTTGCCACGGGCGAGAAGATAAGCGGATTTGTCGAGCCCTGATGATACGTATACTTTGCTAACAGTGCCTGATAATTAGCTATCCTGATCAGGAAGGAGGTAGATGAATATGATTTTCTGCCCAGAATATCGAGCTTATTCCATTCTTTGTCATAAGGGGTGGATTTATATTGTGTTTGCTTGCCTCTGTTATTGGCTGCATCAACGCCTAAGGAATTTGGTGCTGGGTGTGAGAAAAAACTCAGCTTCTTTCGCTGGGACATAATACTTCCTGTCTGCTCTTTTTGATGATGGGGTGATAGATGCTGGTGTTTGCCACAGAATTTTTGCTCAATATGGCCTCATTGACTGGCAGTGCAATCTTCGATGAAGGTGAGGCCTGCAGTATGTTGGTGAGTTTGTGCTTCGTCTTGGGTACTTTGAGGGTATTAGCCACCCTTTTGTATACATTTCAAAAAGACTTGAAATTGTCCCCCACATTATTGTCTCATCAGGGGAAGAGGATGAGTGTGTGAGGGAGATAATGTATACTCTCCCTGAGAGTCGTCCAAGTCCTCTCGCTCCTCTTGCATGACCTCACATGTTGTGGGTGTAGGTGACATGTGGGCCACTGTCAGAGACCTGGGTGGTGGCATCAGTTGAGGTGCTGGTACTAGAGTCTTTAAGGTACTGAAAGGGACACATCTCTGCCAAGGTTGTGAGAGAAGGATGGGAGGGAGCCATGGAAAAGGCTGCCACATCTGGGGCTGAGCCATCTGCTGATGTAGCTGTATTTATGAAGCTGGCTTTGGTGATAAGTATCGTGGGGAGAATGTGATCTCCTCATTGTCATCACTGTTGCTGGAGAAGGGGGATGCTGAGTTCAATAATTCTCGAAGGTAAAGAAGCCTGATTGTTGTCTCCAGTGTCAGTGTGGCATCAGTACCGAATAAGGGTGTGCCCGGTACCGATGCTATTGCTAGCTCCTGCTGGGTTGTCAATGGTCTTGGCGGAGCAAAGGTCGGTACCTCTGATGCCATGAATAGTCCATACATAAGAAAGTCTGCCCATACCTCAGCTGTAGAGCGTATCGGGGAGACTTCTGTACTCATGGCCGGTACCAACCTGGCTGGTGTGTGTACCTGTGGTTCAGAACGCCTTGTTGGAGGTACTCTGAGGTGGTTAAGGTACCATTTTCATCAGTACCAAGCAGCACAGTGGCAGTTTTCTTCAGCTTGAGTGCCGAGACTGCAGGGTGTGATTCTTTGGAAGATACTGCCCCTCGGGGGTTTGTCTGTAATGGACTTTCCTGGTACCTGCACATTCCAAGTAGCCTTCCCCTTTGGCAATGGAGGCTTACTTCGGGGACATGATCTTTTCATTGCCCTCTCTGCCGAGGGTGAAGAACGCTTTCTTTTGGCTTTTTCTTGGTCAGAACCTCTCTTGGAGCCAAGGGGCCTTGATCCGTAGCCGCTGTTAGAGAGGTCCAAGCCAGGGAGGTTAGAGGCACTGGTTCTGAGGCTGCCCTCTCCACTTTTTCCATAGTAAGGAGCTTTAACTGGAGTGCTCTTTCCTTTAGTGATCTGGATGAGAACTTCTTGCAATGGTGGCAGCTCTCTGGTGAATGTTCCTGGCCCAAACAGCCATGCCTGTCTGAGATGGGTATAGACATTCTGCATGTCAGGCACTGTTTGAGCCCTGGTGAGCCTGGCATGCTTAACTTATCCTAACTATGAAATATGAAAAGAGTATAAACAACAACCTGAAACACATTAAAAAAAATCCTCACTCACTGGGAAACCATCTAACAACAGCTACAATATCTAACAATAATTCTGTAAAGTAACACACAGAGAGCTGCCGTGTTCTGACCAAATCAGGAGGGATTGAGAAGGAACTGACGGGTGGTTGATGGTGCATGTGCATTGGCACGTTTGCTATGGCATGAGCGGTGCCGTGTGTGTGCGCCGACACTGGAGGTGCGGGGGAATACTGCTGCTGAAAAGTTCCAGTTCCAAGTGAAGGACCTCCAAGACCCCTACAATGGTGCGCCCACAGGCACACCCCTTGAAGAAGAACACAAGGTACAAAAGAGACAAAGCATTATGAAATGTTTAGCAATGGATACTTTTACACTTTCTGAAAGCAGGGGATAGGGAGAACACAACCCGCTTCCCATGGTAGCTCATCCAGTTCTCCAGCAACTGAGAATAAGCTGTCTCTATTTATAATAGGTGGCATTTACAGCCTGCAGGCACATGACTTCAATCAAGTGCTCCCTGACCTTGGTTCCATCTGTCTTAAAGGGCCCTGGGAAAATGGTACCAAGGACGCATGCTTGTGCCCAAGGATCAGTCACTGATACATCCCTGTATGCAAAGAGCTGCCAAATATACATATAAAGAAGCTGAAAAAATTGAGCAGAAATTGTGTCCCTAGCCTCTGTTTGGAAATGGATGAAAGGAAAGGGGTCATGTGATGATTACCTGTTGTGTTCACTCTCTCTGGGCATCTGGCACTGGCCACTGTTGGCAAACAGGGTGCTGGGCTAGACTGACCTTTGGTCTGACCCAGTATGGCTGTTCTTATGTAATTCTTCTGTAAAGTCTTTCAGCAATAAGAATTTAACACTCTGATTTACAACTGGCTTTATATGGGTAGACCCATGTGCATGCACAGATGCAGTTGCATAATCAGGAGCCTTTAGTGTTATTTATAAAATTAGTAATTACAATCGGTTAAAGAGTGTGTTTTTTCAAGCTGACAGTGTTCTTTTAATACTATATGAGGAGAAATTATTTCCTCATATGCCGGTAGTTGCCATTTTATTTTCTGATATGTACCTTTGACAATACATAATGCCCAAAGAGTAATGTAATGAAACCCATTACAATGCATGCAATAAACTAACAGGTTCTTCAGGTAAATGGGTCCTGTCTTCCCCTACCCACCCCTTTGTTTTGTATTTTATCTTTATATATAGATAAAGCTCTTTGGAGCATGGACGATATCATTTTTCTATTAAAACTTCAAGCAACCTTTTGGTGTGATCTGCAACTAAGGGATAAGCTACGACAGAAAAACACTCAGGTGTCAATCCAGTGTAGCAAATCTGGAGTCTTACCACAGCATTTGCAGGATCAATCCTTAAAATTTCCGTGAAGGCCCTGTGAGCTTCTGCAAAGTTATTCTGACCAAGATGGAGAAATGCTCTAGAAAGTAATTGACATGTAAGTCAGTATTCCTGAAAAACTCAAAGTGATGATACACTTCAAATGGAATTGAGACTGCTTTTTATTTTCTCTATTACAGACATGAGGGTTTATGACACTTGTTTGTCACAGTGTAATTGCGACCCAACTGTGAGACTCTTATTTAGAGACAAATGAAAGAACGGTTACTTACCTCATAACTGTGATTCTTCGAGATGTGTTGCTCATGTCCATTCCAATATAGGTGTGCGCGTGCAGCGTGTACACGCAGTCGGAGACTTTTCCCTCAGCAGTACCCTTAGGGCCAGCAAGGAGCCCCCTGGAATGGCGCAGGTATATCGGCCCCTGCTGGCCCCCTCATCCAATCTGTTCCTTCTTACTGGCATATTCCAGATAAAGGGTGGTGGGCGGGGATTTGGAATGGAAATGAGCAACACATCTCGAAGAATCACAGTTACAAGGTAAGTAACCGTTCTTTCTTCTTCAAGTGATTGCTCATGTGCATTCCAATATAGGTGACTCCAAAGCAGAACCTAACTAGACGGAGGGCCGGATGTCGAAACCAAGGAGGAGTTAAGGACCGCCCTACCTAAGGCAGCATCCTCTCAGGCATGATGGGACAGTGCATAATGGTTGGCAAACGTGTGGACCGAGGACAATGTGGCAACCCTATAGATATCCAGGATGGGAGCCTGCACTGCGAAAGCGGTGGAAGCTGCCACAGCTCTCGTGGAATGTGCTCTAAGGTTGGGTCTGACATGCCCGCTATGGAGTAGCACTCCCTGATACAGGTGGCTATCCATGAGGCGATCTGCTAAGTGGATACAGGTTGGCCTCTCATGCATTCCCCGATGGCTACAAAAAGTTGTGGCAATTTTCAGAATGGTTTCGTCCTGTCTAAATAAAAGGCTAGCACCCTACGGACGTCTAACGTGTGTAAAGCTTGCTCTTTCCCCGATGCATGTGGTTTCCGGTAAAAAACTGGTAGAAAAATATCCTGGGAAGTGTGGAATGCAGAAATGACCTTCGGCAGAAAGGCTGGGTGATGGCGGAGCTGAACCTTGTCCTTGAAAAATACTGTGTAGGGGGGATCCTGACGCCAGTGCCCTAAACTCAGAGACCCGCCTCACGGATGTGACTGCCACTAGGAGGGACACCTTATATGATAGGTGAAGGAGGGAGCACGTGGCTAGCGATTCGAACGGGGGCCCCATAAGTTTGGATAGTACCAGGTTTAGGTCCCACTGGGGAATGGGTTGCCGGACATGTGGATAGAGTCTGTCCATTCCTTTCAGGAAGCGGTTGACCATAAGGTTAGCAAATAATGTTTCCCCCCTTCCCCTGGGTGGAAGGCCAAAATGGCTGCTAGGTGGATCTTAATAGAAGAGGAAGAGAGATGCTAGAGCCTAAGGTCCAACAGGTAATCCAGGATCAAGGGGAGTGGTGCTCACCTCGGGTGTACCCCCTTCTGAGAAGCCCAACAGCAAAACCGCTTCCACTTAACGAGGTACGTAGTTCTAGTGGAAAGTTTTCTGCTACCCAGAAGGACTTCTTGGACTTGTTGAGAGCACTGGAGCTACTCTACCGTTAACCATGGAGCTTCCATACTGTCAAGTGGAGGGACCGTAGGTCTGAGTGGTGAAGTCTGCCCGAGTCCTGGGATATCAGGCCCGGGACTAGTGGGAGGGTTACAAGCCTCTCACATGAGAAGTCGAGGAGGGTCGAAAACCAATGCTGTCTGGGCCACCCTGGGGAGATTAGAATTAATGATGCCCTGAACTCCTGCACTTTCAACAGGACCCTGTGGACTAGTGGGAAGGGTGGGAAGGCGTACAGCAGATCTTGCGGCCAGTGGAAGAGGAGAGCGTCCCCTAGAGATTCCCATCCCTGTCCCATGAGGGAGCAGTAGTGGGGGCACTTCATGTTCTGCCCTGTGGCGAACAGATCCAGATGGGGAAACCCCCACACGTGGAAGATGGACGTTCCCCTGGGTGGCAGGTGTGTGTAGGCACAAGGACTTTAATGTGGCCCTCGTATCCTTCAGGCCACGCAGCCACTGGTCAGTTTGCTCGGAGAAGAGCGACATGCCTTCGAAAGGGAGATCCTGTAAGGTGTTTTGGACTTCTGGCGGCACTCCAGATCCCTAGAGCCATGACCTGTGATGCAGGACAACTCCAGTGGCCATGACTCGTGAAGCTGCATCAGCCACATCGAGTGCTGCTTGTAACACCATTCAGGAAATTACTTTCCCCTCTTCCTAAAGGGCCTTATACTCCGCACGGGAGTCTCTGGGGAGCAAGTCCGTAAACTTGTCCACAGATGCCCAGGTGTTGTAGGCGTATCTGGACAGAAGGACTTGTTGGTTGGCAATTCGGTATTGGATGCCCCCGGATGCGTAGACCTTTCTGCCCAGTAAGTCGGTCTTTTAGAGCCTCCCTGGGTATGTCAACACTACTAGTTCGAACTAGGGTGGTTAATGTAGTCATTCGAAGTTGCAAATGAAGCCCGGGATTTAAATATCCCGGGCTTTATTTGCATCTTGCCGGGCGCCGCAATTTTTAAATCCCCGTTAGTGCGGACTCCGTGCCCGCGGCTACACTAACGGGGATTTAAAAATGGCGGCGGAGGTCTTGGTGGGCCCTGGCATCCACGGAGGGCGCAGAGTCGGCCAGAGCCTCGTCCAGGGAGGACGACGATGACCCCTTTGCCATAGTGCCCACAGGGGCGTCTATATGGCCTGGATTGTCTGAAGTGGCCATGGAGGGAGGGGGGGGAGGTTGGCTTACCGGAGCCGTGTTCTCCCTGGGCCTGGTGACGACTGGCCCGGAGGTAGCAAGTGGGCCGACGTGGGGGACCGGACCAAAGGAGTCGCCTACGGAGGGACTTGTGGACCTGACGTGACAGAAGCCGGTCTAGGAAGGTTCATACCTTGGCCCTGATGGTAGGCCCAGGGGGTCCAAAAAGGCCACTGCCCAGGTCGCTGAGGTGGCCACGTCTGCTGGACCATTGGTACAGGGATCGGCTGAACCTACTGTTGTTGGTACAGACGTGGAGAAGTACGGTGCTGGGAGCGGTGCCGTGAACGGGTTCGAGAGCCCCGTGAAGACCATGCAGACTCCACGTCGGAATCGGAGGAGTACTCAGAGGCAGACCATGGCGGTGCCGATGTCGATTGTCCTGCAGTGTGCCGAGACATGGCTTCCGGTTTGCCGTGGTGCCGGGGTGGAGGAGGAGGCATCGCCAAGATGGGGGTTCCTGACGGTAGGTGCTGCGGTGCTGGGGGTCAGAAGTGGTGCCGGATCCATTGCCGGATCTGGTGCCAAGCGCACCGGCGTGACAGTAGCCGGTGCCAGGGGAGGTGCCGCGTGTGCCACATGGCTCTGCCGCACCTCATGCACTGTTTCGTTAGGCATCCTAGGAGGGGAGCAGTACCGAGCATCCCCATGCCATCTTGAGAGGAGACTATAAGGACCCTTGCTGCCTCCAAGGCCTCTGGGGTGGATGGGTCCGGGAGATCCTCTGAAGGACTCACTTCCCTCCGGTATGAAGAGTAGTCACTTGACCTAGAAGGCCTGGGCTCTGGACTGGCTGATGCCGTGTGTCTCACTGTAGAGTGCACAGAGGACGCATGCTGTGGTGGGGTAAAAAGAAAACTACAAATGAAAGTCTTTAACTAAAATAACAGGTACTTAACAGATGATTGCTAACGAAGGAGAAGAACAGTGAAGAGAACGACTCGAAGACGAGCTGAGGGTTGTTCCAATGACCGTCACGGCAATAAGAAGGAACTGAGTGGTAAGGGGGCCAGCAGGGGTTTATATGGGCCAATATACTGGCGCCACTCCAGGGGGCTCCCTGCTGGCCCCTAAGGGTACTGCTGAGGGAAAAGTCTCCGATGGTGCGTGCACGCTGTGCACACGCACCTATATTGGAATGCACATGAGCAATCACTCAAAGAAGAAATGACACTTCAGATCACTGGCCACTTCAGATATTTGGCTACTAAAGCAAAGCTGTTCTACATTTTATTATTAAAATGCAGTGACTCTTCCTAAAGTAATTCCTCTGAGAAACTACAAGTGTTATATCTGTTTCCAAAACATACTTGTAATAATATTTTACTTGTCTAAACATATTTGGCTAATATGAAAAAATTGAGGACTCCAACATGTAATCTGATTTGCTAGTACATATCTTGGCATCTGATTGCAGCTAACCAGTGATCTAGTGACTCTATTTGCACAATCAGAATCCAAAAGTGCTTTTTTGTTCCTAAAAGTATATATTGAAAAAATATGGTAAAATATGCAATGCTTTGAAGACTGAGAAATAACTTTTGTAAAATCAACTCTTGTAATGAAAGAGTTTCAAGCCAGGAGAAGCCGACTACACCAAGTAACACAGATCTCATGGGTGTACATGCCATTCAACCTCACTTCTGACAGATGTAGTTACATAAAAGAGAGAGAAAGAAAAAGGGATACTCTCAAGGGTACCTTAAAACTCACAATGCACACTTTGCAAAATCATATTTTTAAGTTTCATTTAGCTCTTAAATTATCTACCTGTTCATTAAAACCGTAATTTTTTGCTGTCCATCCAATTTCGGACTCATTTTCTCAACATCTTGAAAATATTTTTCTGCAGTTTTTATATCTCCAATCTGGACAAAAATTACAAGAAAGTCAGGACAATGCATGAGAAAGATCTGTCCAAATGATATCTTCACGGGACATCCTTTCACAAAGAACAAAAATGTGAAAATATATGAAATATTAAAGTAACCAACATCATAATTCTACCTCTCTGATTAGTCATTGTTCACTGTGAATTGGCTAAAGCCATTATCAAGGCAGAATATTATAATTCCTCGTTTAGCTCATAGAAGTGAATAACAAGAACCAAATACACAAGTGTCCCCTTCCCTAGGGCCATGGTGCCTAAACTGGGCTCAATAGAACATTAGAATATAATGTAGTGGTGGCTTTGCTTCTTCATTTTTAGCTGCCTTGACAGGTGTCCAGCTCTTTCATTGTAAAGAAGACTCCAGAGGTTTACAAAACTAGCTGGAAATGAGAAGACAGCAGAGCTACCTCCAACAGCTTTGTTTAGGGTGGAATCAAATTAATGGTACATTTTGGTCAATTTTAATTGTCATAGGATTTTAAAAATCATAATGCTATGATTTCTGCTATTTAAATCTGAAATATTACAATATCACAGTATTGTAATTATAGGGGTGGTGACCTCAAAAAGGAATTGTGCAGGGTAACAAACCGGTTAACTGATTAAATGGGATTTTACATCCTTAATCACTAGCTACTACTAAAGAGAGGAAAAAGGATCACTCCTCAAAGCCAGAAGCTCCCAATCTTTAAGCAAGACAGGGCATAGTAGCCAGGTAGCTTGTGTAAGACCTATTCTTCAATGACCAGCCTACCTATGATCAGAAAATACCTAGTCCCCTCCTGAGCAATCATCCCACAGCCAGAGACTAGAGAACAACTGGCATTGCTGCTGCTACACAGAGAAAAATGCTAGGCAGAGAAACCAGCTAGAAAAGTTTAAGTCAGGGTGTAGATTTAGAAGTATAGGGCTAGATGATAAAAGGGTTGTGTGGGTGGAAGGAGCGATGGGTTTGGGAATTGTGAGAAAATAGAACTGATTTTTTTTGAGGATGGTCAGACTGTGAAGTGAATAAAATGTCACATAGATTTTAAGTTACGAGCGACTATTTTAGGAAATAAGCATGCCTTCTCTTTCAGCAAAAATATGGTAATTTACAAAATTTGTTATAATGAACAATTTTTATTTAACTGTATCCCAGCATTCAATACTCTGAATAATATGCAATTATGATATATAAATTATTCACTTGTAAGGGCCTTTATTCCATTAAACAAATGAAAGTACTGATCCCTGTTGCTTTTCCAGGATATCTAACATACAAGAATCAGTTTAAATTACTCCTGGAAATTTAACCATTTAAAATTACTTTTCTGCCACTGCATTTTATTTGATTAATTTAGGAATTGCAGTCACTTTTTCTGAACTAATGTAACTAATTACAATTAGGGCTGTCAATCAATTGCAGTCAACTCTCAAAATTAAAAAAAATTAATCTCGATTAATCCCACTGCTAAACAACAGAATACCAATTGAAATGTATTAAATATTTTTGGATTTTCCTACATTTTCAAATTTAGTGATTTAAATTACAACAGAATAGAAAATGTACAGTGCTCACTTTACATTTTTTTATTACTAATATTTGCACTGTAAAAGAGAAAACAAAAGCAATAGTATTTTCAATTCACCTTATACAAGTACTGTCATGAACTCTTTTTACTGTGAAAGAGGAACATAAATGTAGAGGGGTTTTTTTTGTTACATAACTGCACTCAAAAACAAAGTAATTGTAAAACTTCGGAGCCTACAAGTCCACTCAGTTCTACTTCATATTCAGCCAACCACTCAGACAAACAAGTTTGGTTAAAATTTCCAGGAGATGCCTGCTTCTTGTTTACAATGTCATATGAAAGTGAGAACAGGTGTTCGCATGACACTTTTGTACATAGCATTGCAAGGTATTTATGAATCAGATATGGAAAACATTCATATTCCCCTTCATGCTTTGGCCACCATTCCAGAGGACATGATTCTATGCTGATGATTCTCATGGAAAAAATAATGCATTAATTACATTTGTGACTGAACTTTTTGGGGAAGAAATGTATGTGTCCTGCTCTGTTTTACACACATTCTGCCAGATATTTCATGTTATAACAGCTTCGGATAATGACCTGGCACATGTTCATTTTAACACTTTCACAGCAGATTTGACAATATGAAAAGAAGGAGCTACCGTGAAATTTCTAAAAATAGCTACAGCCCTTCATGTAAGGTTTAAGACTCTGAAGTGCTGTCCAAAATCTGAGGGACGAGGTGTGGAGCATGCTTTCACAGGTCTTAAAAGAGCAACACTGTGATGGGGATACTACAGAATCCAAACCATCAAAAAAGAAAATCAACCTTTTGCTGGTGGCATCTGACTCAAATGAGAAAATGAATATGAACACTCTGCTTTGATCGTTATTGAGCAGAACCCATCATCTGCATGGATGCACGTCACCTGGGATGATGGTTGAAGCATGAAGGGACATATGAATCTTAGTGCATCTGGCATGTAAGTATCTTGCAATGCTGGATACAATAGTGCTCTACGAAAGCACATACAGTCGGTCCCCGAGTTGTGAATGGTCGACTTACGACCGTTCGCAGTTACGACCGAAACTGTTGTAAATGGCAGACCCCGAGTTACGAACGTGATCCATGCTTACGAACAGCGCGGTCGCGTGTAACTCAGTGGGGTCCGACTTACGAACAAACCGGGTTACGAACCAATTGCTTGGTCTATAACTGGTTCGTAAGACGGAGAGAGGCTGTACTCACTTTCAGGTAACATTGTAAATAAGAAGTGGGCAGCATTATCTCCTGGAAATTTTAACCAAACTTATTTGAGTGATTGGCTGAACAAGTAGGACCAAGGGGACAAAAGCAGGGGATCTCAAACTGTTGGGTTGGGACCCCAAAGGGGGTCATCGAGGCTGGTGAAAGCCCTAGGTGAGTGATTGTAGAACCTATGACTCATGGGTCTGCCTGGCAGAAGTGTCTCACTGCCATGCCCCCTTCCCACTGGCTGGGGGAATAGCAGCGCAGGGACGCTCCGTCACTGTGCTTGCTTGCAGGCTTCAACCCTGTTGCTTCCTCTGGATGGGAATTGCGGCCAATGAGAGCAGCAGGGAATGGTGCCTGTAAGTGCAGCATGGCACGCAACTATCTGTGTGCCCCTGGGAGCTATGACAGGTAGGCGCTCCAATCCCCTGGCCCTTCCCACTCAGACTCCACAACTCCACCCTGCTCCAGTACCCTACCTCCTACACAGATCCCAAACTCCCACCCCTGCACTCTACCTCAAGCCTGCACCCAACCTCCTGCCCAGAGCCTGGACCCTGGCAGCCCCTTTTTGCACACTGAGCCCCTCATTTTTGGCTCCACCCCAGATCCTGGGAGACCCACAAAATCTACTTGCTCCAAGCCCCCAGAAGAGTTAATCAGGCAAGCCCCATGGGGCTGGAGTTCAAAGGGAATGAAGTGAGTGGGGTTTTGTTTTGGTGGGTTTTTTTTGTTTCTTACTTGTGTGGCCCCCCCGACCCAAAAAGTTTCCCATCCCTGCCCTAGGCCCTCACAAGTCATAAGCCTAAGCCCAAACCCAAGCCCAAGCCCCACCACCACCACCCTGGGCTAAGGCTACATGCTCGCTGTCCAGGGCAGAAGCCCTTGAGCTTCAGCTCTGGCCCCCGCACCCAGGGCAGTGGAACTCGGGTGGCAGGGCTTGGTATTCCACCCTCCTCCTGGGGTTATGTAACAATTTTTATTGCTAAATGGGTTCATGGGGCAATGAAGTTTGAGAACTGATGCTCTAAAGAAGGAGTGGGCAATAATTTTTGAGGGGAAGGAGCTCCAAGAATTTGGAAAGTGGTTGAGGGCCGCACTCTTCCAAAATGTTAATGGTGGAGGTGTGGGGTTTGGGATGGAGATTGGGTACAGAAGGGAGCTTGGAGTAAGGAGGCAGTTGTGACCGGGGCACTGGACTGGGGTGCAGGCAGTTGGATTGTCACCTAGAGCAGGGAACTGGGGTACAGAAGGGGGTGCAGGGATTTGGCTTGTGAGCTAAGGCAGGAGGGGACTGTGAGCTAGGGCAGTGGATTGGGATGCCAGATCTGGGAGGGTATATGGGTACAGAACAGGGGCAAAGGATTTGGGTATGTGGGGTAGGGAGCAGAGGGTTGGGGAAGGGAGGGACTGGGGTGCCAGAGGGTAGGTTCTGCCAGGAGACTTAGCAGCCAGTGCTGTTTCTGAATCAGCTTCCCTGCCTGCCCTGCCCCCGCACAGACTGCAGCCATGAAAAAGGTAGCTCCCATTGGCCGGTTTCTGGCCAGAAACCAGCCAATGAAATTGTGCTGTGAGCAGGAGCAGCTCCTAAAGCTTTTCCCGCCTCCCGTTCGGACTCACTGTTTTTAAAAAAAAACTGCCCAACAGCTGCATTTTTGAGTGGCATGTGGGTGGGGCGAAGCAAGTGGGGAGCCTGCCTGGGACTCCCCATAGCATCCATGAGCCGGATCTGGTGGCTTGGCAGGCCAGTTGCGGCTCGCACGCTGTATTTTGCCCAGGCCTGCTCTAAAGTTTTACATGGCTTTATTTCTGAGACCAGCCCTTTTTTTGTACATAGTTCTACATTTGTAAGTTCAACTTTCATGATAATGAGATTGCTGTATAGTACTTGTACAGGTTGGACCTTCCTTGTTCAGCACCATGAGGACCTGAGTGGTCCCGAACAACGGAGTTTGCCGGATGAGAGGAGGTCAAGGCTCCCTACCCGGCTGTAGGCTCTGCTTCCAGGTGGGACTGTGCTCCCTGCCACTGCCTCTAGTACCCCACCATGCCAGTCCTGGCAGGTGCTACGCCCCTGTTCTCCTTAGCGATGGCCAGGGCTGCATGTCCAGCTGACTCCAACCTTGGCTGGGACTGTGCTCCTGCAATGCACCAGCCCCCTGAGGCTGTGCTTGTCACAATGCCAACCCTGACTAGGGATGCACTCCTGGCTGCTGGCCCCGCTACCTGCTGCCCTGGCTGGGGCTGCGTTCTCTACCGCGCTGGCCCCGCTGAGGCTGGGGTCCCCACCACCAGCCCAGCCCAGGTTGCGCTTCTGAATCTGGCCAGCCAGGGCTCTCTGGTCCAACAATATTCATGGTCTGGACCAGAGAGTCCCAGATTTTAGAAGTTCAACCTGTATTAGACGAATTGAAAATTACTATTTATTTTTGTTTTTTACTGTGCAAATATTTGTAAACAAAATTAATATGAAGTGAGCACTGTACACTTTGAATTCTGTGTTGTAATTAAAATCAATGTATTTTAAAATATAGAAAACATCAAGAATATTTAAATAAATGGTATTCATTATTGTTTAACAGCATGATTAAATCATGTGATTAATCATGATTAATATTTTTAATCACGTTACAGCCCTAATTATGATTATTAATGCTTCCAAATAAACATGAAAATCCTTGTTATCCTCAAATAATCAAACCCACTGTTAATGCTCCTCCAATGTAATTTGTAATGACTGTAGTTTTTGTTAATCTGAAAACAGGATTATTTTTCAGAAACTTTTTAGGGGGTATTTTAAGTACCCTTTGCTGCAATCTATTGCAGAGACAGTAATTAAAGTTGTCACAGAATAACATTGGAGCACTGGTTTGTAAATTAAATAGTAATTTCATTTTTTAAGTCCGTTGATGGAGTTATTCAAATAGCAGATAAGGGCCAGCTAGCAAGCAGTTTCAGGGTACTTGAGGAGCATATAATGAAATACTGAAGACCAAACAATCATCAATTTCCCCCCTAACCTATCAGTTTGAATTTGTCTCTGATGTATCTCAAGTGGTTGCCAACAGCTTTATTCACATTACCTTTTAAAGCATCTCTGGGATAAACTATAGCCTTTTCTGCTTTTTAAAATCTCTTCCCTTCTACTGAATAGGAGGAGTGCTGATCAGCACCCAGGGACTAAGGGGTTAAACTCAGGTAGCTAGCAAGGGTGTGGCCAGGGGCCAGGAGAACCAATTGAAATAGAGTGCTGGAATTTGAATTGTATAAGGAATCTGCCTGCTTTCATTGTGTGGGCGAGTTAAACCAGGAGTTAAAAGACACAGAATGATTTAAACCAAAACAGGCCTACCATGTCTCCAAGGAATTGGGGGCAAGGAAGTAGACTGAACAAAGAGAAGATTGGAAGTAAAGGGGAAAAAAGTGACTCTAGTCACGATCAGGATATTTTTCTTTATTTTATTATTTGGTTTGAACTGCTCTGTGTGAATCTATGCCTCCCCTCCCCATTTACCATCTAACATTGTTCCCAGAGATTTTCCTCTGTGTTTTAAACTTGTTTTTCTTAGTTGCTCTGTAACAACTAGCAATCAAGCATGCTTTATCAAGTTTATCTTTTGTTTTGTAATAAAAATCACTTTTTTAAGGTGATGATTTGATTCTTGTGTCCTAGAAGGTACAGGAGGTCGGTCTGTCTGCCTCAGACTGAGAGGTCAGCTTACTAGAGACTGCAGCCTGTTTTTCTCTTTTATTTTTTCAAGCTCTTTTAGGGCAAAAGAGCTTGAGGTACCCCAGGGGGTGGGTTCAAGTGTTCACCCCTGGGTTTTTAAGGATAAAAATCACTTGATGGTGACAGCGATCCCCCCGCCCAATCAGTGTATTGTGATTGTGGAGGTAAGTTTTTGGTAACCAGTGCCTGTAAAGGCAAGGCTTTTAAGCTCTCTTGCGGGCCCTCACCTTCTGCAGTCCGAGTGCCAGAATGGGGAACAGCCCTGACACCCCTCATTCAGTATTTATATGATGGTAGCTACTGAAGACCTTATTGCAAATCAGGACTCCACAGTACTAGGTGCTCTATGAATACACAAAGCAGTCCTGTGGCACCTTAGAGACTAACACATATCAAAAGCTTTCGTGGGTAAAACCCACTTCATCAGATGAGTTGGAGTAGAAATTACAGAATCTAGAGTATATAAAACAGCAAAACCAGATACTTGTCAATTGTAGGAACAGTATTAATGACACTAAGTCAGGCTGGATGTGTCCCATTCATAGGTTTTGATGTCTAAATACGAATATCAAAGGCAGGGGAAATTGCCTTTGTAGTGAGTTAACCAATTAATATTTTATTGGAGCCCAAGTTGATAGTATTGAGTTTGTAAATGTATTCCACTTCAGCAGTCTCCCTTGTAACTGAGTAATAAAATTTCTTTCTAGAAGGATGGCTACTTTTAAATCCATTACTGAATGTCCAGGAAGGTTAAAATATTCCCTAGAATTTTGTGTGCGTTACCATTCCTGATGTTTAATTTGTGTCCATTAATCCTTTGTCATAGAGACTGTTTGGTTTGTCCAGTATACATGGTAAAGGGGCATTGCTTGCACTTGATGGCATATATCACTGTAACAGGCCCACCAGCTGGTGAGCGCTCTACTGTGGCCACGTGATGCTGTGCAGGGTCCTTGCCCTCAAAGTCCTGGAACCAGGGCCTGACTAGCCCTGCCCACGGTGCTAGTTAAGTCTCTGCCTGTGGTTGGTCTTGGGCCACTGGGTCTGGGTCTTACCCAGATCTAGGCTCAGCTCACACTGGGAGCTAGCCGTAGTGCTGATCTCCCAGTCAGGGTATAGACCTGGCTGGGTTGAGCTCCTGAAGGGAACTCCCAAGCCCCAGCGCTGCAGCTTCTTTTATACCTCTCTGCTGGGTCCTGATTGGCTGCCGCAGGGACAGCTACTCTATAGTGTCTGGAGGACCACTTCTCTACTCCTCCTGCTGTGATGGGGTGTGGCAAGGCCGCTAGCCTTCTGTACGGGTCGTGGGGCCTAGACCAGCCCATCACAATCACATTAGAGGATGTGCAGTTGCATGAGTTGGATGTGCAGTTGAATGTTCTGCGTTATGTGGTTAGATATGTAGACAGAGTTGACAACGAGGTTTGTTGCTTCTGCAAACCCCACTGCCAACTCTGACCACATATCTATAAAAGCAACACCATCATAGGACCTATCCACATAAAAACAGGTAGTATTGCAAAGCAATAAAAACACTTTTGCTGATGCACCAGGTCAAAGAACATTTTGCATTTAGAAGTGGTGTTTTCAGTACCTATTGTCTGGGGTTAGGTAAGGAGGCCAAGAGGCTCCTTGTTCTTTATTTTCTTTTCTGCAACTCTATAAGGAAAGGTCCAGATCTGGCAGTAAAACCACTAACTCAAATATATCCAATTATTATATGTCACAATCAACATCAAGGAGGATGACAACAGAGTCTGCTCCCTTCAGAGCCTGCTAACACCTCTCTCTAAATTGGGTGGACAGATTGCTCTTCAGAGATATGGGGCAATTTGTGCCCACTCTCTTGAGGCTGATCTTGTAAATGCAGTAATTGATGTATCTGAGAGAAAGATTCCAGGGATGGGGAAGTGATCTCTGCTTTGTCACATGACAGTGTAAACAAGTAAAGCAACCAGGCTGGCTAGTTGATTTTTCTATTGTGACCCAGAATTATCAGCTATGTGGATACCTGTACTTTAAGTTAGTTTATAGCTTTCATTAACACATAAATAGACATTGCCTATTTAAGCTATAATGAATGTATTTTAAATCTCTTAATTTAATAGAAATTTCACTTTAATGTTCAGATCAATTTTAATTCAAAAAACATCTTCAAACTAGTGTTTTGATGATCACATTTCTATTGACCAACTATGTTGAAATAAAATTCTTGCTAGAAAATTTGAAAATTCCATAGCTAGATTTGTTTGAATGACAATTTACATGGTTTCAAATTAACAATAATAATATAATTATCTTTAATCTAAAATAGAATAGTTTAATTTTATAACTTCAGCTATCTAGGATAAGAAGAAAGTTTGTAAATAACTGTGTCATTTAAGCACTAAAAGAGAAAGTCTGAAGTGTTTAACATTAGAGAATGTTAAATCCATAAAGAATGGGAGTTTGCTGGATACTAAATATTAGGACTTAAAATTTCATCAGACTATTATGTAGCATGGTAATAAAAGATCATTTTTTGAAAATCAATGTCTTATTCCAACAGTATTTAATAGGTGTCATTTACACAGTCAAATGCACATGAAACACTGCTGGCGTTTCTCTCCACAATGGAAGTAATCCTATGGAAAAGCAAAGTGAGGAAATTCTCAAGTAATTTTTGGATTGAGTTGCTTAGAGAGCCATTTGATCAACAACAGATGCGGAAGGAGGGAAATTAAATTTGGGGTGAAATTTTGGCCCATTAAATAAAGTCTGTGGGAGTTTTGCTATAGACACTAATGTGTCCAGGATCTCATACTTTGAACTGATATAACCAGATATAATTTCCATGCCATCACCAATTAATGCAATTAAGTGCAATTCACCACTGGAAATACTTTGTATTTTGTAATCTATTTAAATATTTCATGGTAACACTCTTATTTATCTCATTTTTTTAAAGCCTCTCCTACATTTAGGTTGATATATATGTGCCTAATGAGAATAACAATAAAGATTTAAATACTGCAATTGTTCATTGCATTACTGTCAATATTACTTAGCATATTCAGAATAACATACATACCTGAAGAAAAATCCTTCCAATTCCACTCAACAGCTGAGGTTCCTGTTCTGGGTAATATTTGATGACTGTGTGATATGCATCTACAGCAAGCACATAGTCCTAAAGGGGGAAAAAAATACATGGCTAGATTTTTGAGCTTAGCATTCAATCATTGTTTTTGGTACGGTATTTTTAACTTACTCAGTTAAAGATGCTACACTAACTTACTCAGAAAAAATGCCACAGTCATTTATTCTGCCTTCTTCTCTTCTCCGTAACTCATGGGAGACAACATGCATTGAATGCTACCTTTTCTTAAGGATACATTTACAATTACTAAGCCCTGCCTGGGTATGACACACATCACCGCTTGTAATAATACAATTTTGCAAAAACAAAACTCAGACTGATCCCAAAAAAGTCAGGTGGTTTTATTTGGTTTTCCTTCTTTTGAACTGCCCCCTTTCATCAATGTCTGAGTAATATTTACACTGTTCAGAAGTTTCACAAATTTATAGAGTCAAGTCATTTAGGTCTCTCCTACTTGAATTCTGGCTAGAGAACTCAACTGAGCTCAAGATCCCACTGTACTAGGCACTTTATAAACAAAACATATTAAGAGACAATATCTATGATGAAGAACTTACAATCTAGTGAAAAGCATGCCTTGTGATGCAGGAGCTAGAACTAGGACTCACCATCTCACCTTATAGGGACCGCCAAACTTGTATTAGGTAGGAACAGCTTTTAGTCCCTGTTGAGCTAGGTATAATTCTGACTGGTAAAACGCTTTATAGCTTTTTAGTGATGCCTTGAGATGCTTCTTTAAGTATTAATGTTACACTTGAGAACAAGGCTAACTTTCTGAAAGAATAAATTTATTAAAGCAAGTTCTGATCTTTTGGGAGTTGCCCACAGGGTTCTCTACTCTGAACATAGGCAAAATTTCCCACAAGCTGTTGTTAGTCTGAAACACACACTAAAGGCTTTTTTTTGCACTCTGAAGTTAACCTGATTTATAACCTGTCCCCCATACAGACATAAAACCCCTTACCTCAAGTGGCTGGCTCAAAAGGGGGCATATTTTAAATAGAATATTTTAAATAGAAAGGCGGGGTAAAATATTTAAATAACTTAAAAAATATTTTAAAATTTAAGGGCACACGTGTGGATGCAGGCTAACTCTATTCAAGTGCTGCTAGACCTCCACTATCTTCTCACAATTCTTCTCCCATCTCCAATATCCAGCTACAGCAAAAAAGCTTTCCCACAGATCAACGGGATAAAAATAAAGCAACCCAATCTATTGCAGTGCTAAGACTCATAGGATGAGTACCCAGAAGTCTGTGCCACATAGGAGTAGACACAACTGCTTGAGTGTTATTTTGTAGTGTGGATGCTCCACCTTGAGTTAGGCTAACTTGAGAGGAATAACTTGAGGGTAGAAAACTTGGGTTAACTCTTCAGTAAAGACACAAAACATCCTAGTATGTCTACAGGGACAATTAAAGGTTGAACCTCTCTAGTTCAAAACTCTCAGCAACATCCGTGGTCTGGCATGATTTTAGTTAGTCGGTTGTCCACTTAATGTGAGTATGGCCACGTTTCTCGTGGTCCTGGAAAGTTTGTTACAGCCACCAGTCCTGGCTCTCTGTGTCCTGTACTGTTATTTAGCTCTAATTTATCCTAAATGTCTTCTTAGAGACCAGCAAGCAATGTGGAACTGCTGGTAATACTGCTACACATAAGCATGGTTTTTATGCTTTATCTACTTATTTCCTCGTGCCAATATAATACAATTATGTAGGCTACTGTAGGCTCCCTTTACTATAGAAGCCTCTGATTTTTACGGAGTATCCTTGATGCTGTAATCCAGCCCTAGAAACAACAACTCCCATGATGTCTTTGAAAAAAAGGAGGGAAACTGTTAATCTCTTCCAGGTAGTGCAGAGAGAGAGCTGGTGTGCTCCAATTTGCAGAGAGGAGCCAGACTGCTGGTATGGAGCTTTTTTCCAGTCTAGGAGCTGCTGCTGGAAGCTAGAGTCTGCTGCTGAGAGCCTGCTGGGACTCTGATTTAGCAGGCTGCTTCAGAGGCTGTTGGTGATTGCCCCTGAAGGGGAGAGACTCTGGCTATGAAGGGCCCGCACAGGAGTAACTGTAAGTAACTGTGGCTGTTTGAGGAAGTGCTGCCTTGGCCTGAGGACAGAAGACAAACATTGGATCCGTAGAGAGGCAGAGTGATCTGGTCAGTGAACCAGAGCTGCTGGCATTTGCTGCTCCAGTGTTAGAGGGATTTTGCAGTTGTTGCCTGCTTGGACTGACACATACAGAACCTGCACAGTGCAGTCTCCACTCCAGCTGCAAATCTTCAAGTGTGCCCATGCAAGCAAGTGCACACTCTCGGGTGGGATAAATGGTGGCAGTGTAAATGCCACTTAGACCAGTTTCATTTATTTCAGTGTACTTTGTTAACTGATTTTATTCAATTTTAGTCTGTTAAACTCTGTTTCTTTAAGTGGTTACATAAAGGTGTGTTAATTCTAATTTAATCAGTCAGATGTATATTATTTATATTTGTTGTTTTGGAGTTAAATCCAGATTATTACTAGAATAAATTTATTCCTGGAGGTTCTCAAGGCACACCATTAAGTATGTGGAGGGGCCAGCCAAGTGGCCACTGTATATTCCCTTAGAAGCAAGGGACTATAGGAAAGGGATAAATAGGGGATCCCCAACTATCCAACATCACCACTGGGATATTCAGGATCTCCTTTAATATTAAGGATATTAATTAAAAACATTAGGCACCCAAGTGAGCATTGCCTGCTCCCAAGTAACCCAGGGAAGAAAGAGAGGATTATACGTATATTGGGTATACCCGCAGTAATACATTATTAAGCATTACAAGTGCTGTTCCATTTATTTGCCTTTGTGAAATAAAAATAAAGAGACCCACTCACTACAATATTGACCTTCTGTGACTAGACAAATTCTCTGGTTTGGCACGGATCAGATCCCCTGGGTGCCTGAATAGAGATGTTTAACCTGTATATGTAACCAATTACAGGTAATAAAAATGGGATGTTATACTAATTCACTTTTAAATACAGTGTTTTATAATATAAAATAATTCCAATAATCTTTGTGGTCCTTACCCTAACTTTTATACATATATGTAGTTTTTCTCCTCCACATGAGTATCAGCATGGTTTGAAACCATAATCCAAAGCAAAGTTCTCCATTTCAGCTAAAAAACTAAGTGGTAGGAGGAAAGCAAGCTGTTATCTGTATACGGACTAGCCCTACAGGGAGATACCACATACATGTAGTCAGTGGGTTACAAAAATGGAAGGGTGGATATCAGGGTAACTGGTTTTCATTCCTGGCTCTGGAAGCAGACTGTGGTGAAACAGTTGGAGACAAAATAACCTAATGAAACAATGTCCTTGTGTGACGGGCCGGCAGCAGCCCGCACTCACGCTGACAGGCGGACAGCGCCTGCTCTGGCAATCGCCGCGAGGACATGTAGTCAGTGGGTTACAAAAATGGAAGGGTGGATATCAGGGTAACTGGTTTTCATTCCTGGCTCTGGAAGCAGACTGTGGTGAAACAGTTGGAGACAAAATAACCTAATGAAACAATGTCCTTGTGTGACGGGCCGGCAGCAGCCCGCACTCACGCTGACAGGCGGACAGCGCCTGCTCTGGCAATCGCCGCGAGGA